TCATAACATGTTCTAACTGTGCATGGTGAGGATGTAGTAGTAGCAATTGAAATAGGTCTACATCTATCTTTTCCTGTTGAATCTAATAAGGCATTACAAAAATCAGCTGATCCATTGTTTGTAGTACATGCTCTAGTTTATGAAACACATATAGTTCCATTTGTTTTGCAAGTTTTAAGATAACTTTAACAATCAAAATCTGTATAGAATGCCTTATCACTACATGATCTATCTCTACATTTCGAATTAGCTGAATCCCAAGCACAAAAATCTCCTGTGTCATTCTCAACACCTTCACACCATATTTATTTAGCTGCATCATCATCACCTTATGGTGTATGATTTGCACAACTTACTTTTTTTATGCATTTATTGGAATAATAGAGACAATCTGGAGCATTGTTAATACAATCTGTAGCACTTGCATCATTATCTGTACAAACTTAAGTTCTGCATTTTTTAGCAGAATCCATAATACATGGATAACCATCGGATGATTTAACTGCTTTACATTCTGTCTCTTCTGAACCTTCTGCAGGTCCCATTTCTGGTGTACCTGTTCCATCATAACTTTCACAAGTATCCAATTTGACACAATTATTACCAGAAATATATGTACATTTACTTTTTCCATCTGTTAATGTTGCACAAATAGATGCTTAATTATCGGTTACACTATATTCATGACACTGCTTTTATTCTGTACATGTTGTTCCTGATATGTAAGTACATAAACTCTAAGCTGCATCGACTTTATCACAATAAACCTTCTCATTTCCATTTAAAGCAATGATATTATTACAAATATCAAACCTTTTATAGCAAGTTCCTAAGAGATAAACACATAAATATCTATTTGCTTATAAATCACAATCCATTTAAGAGGTTGGATTTTTGATATCTTAGCAATTAAAAATTCTACATGAAGTTTTACCAGGTGTGAATGCACACTTTTAACCATTAATACTAACTTTACTTAAACAATAATTTAAATTATCAGTATCATTAGTGTTAGGCAAGTTTTGATATTATGTACAAGCTGAAGCAACAACACATTGAGTTTGAGGAGTTGAATTATATTAATCAAATGTACAATATATATTTAAAGTAGATGTTTTATAGAATTAACAATATGTTACTTTTTATGCTGGTTCCAATCCTTAATCCAAAGGTACTATATCATTATCACCACAATCACTACCAGATGAGACAAATTTTTGTTAATAGCATTTATTATTATAGTAAATACATCCATTTATGTAATTATCACAATCTCCTTAACTAGTTGGTGATGGAATATCTGTACATATAGCTTCGCTACAAGTTGTTCCAGAATCATATTTACAAAATTTGGTTCTATCTTTGAATGATTACGCCAGACAAAATGCAGATTTGAATGCACTTGAAGTTGGATCACTAAAAGAATCCCAAATGCCAGCAATAGGAATTGTTATACCACAATCAGCGTTATCTGCAAGTTCACATTTAGTTTTATCAGATTTTAATCTACAATGAAAAGTGTCTTCTTTGATACTTCTACAAAATAGAGATTTTTAAGTATCTGTTGTTATTCCAGTTGGGAATGTTGAGGGACAACTACCAGAAGCAACTTTAGCATAACACTTACCATTAAAATATAAGCATCCAGATGAATAAAGTTCACACTGTTCTTAACTTGAAGCTGAAAAAATATCCGAGCAAGCAGAAATAGCATCGCATGCATTTCCTGTCTTATAAATACATTTTGTATATATTGCTTATGGTGTTCCTAATTTTGATAGATCTTATATCAACTTCAATTCCCAACATACTTCTTATTTTTTAATTGTCGTTAACGTAGAATCGATTTTGTAATCACTACAAGTTTATGATAAAGTGATACAAGTAGAATCTGTTACTTTTTAACATACTCCTTTAGTTTGAAAAAGAGTTGAATCATTACAGGTTCTTGTATCTGTTTAAATATGTAATTTTTCACAACTATCTTATAAACTACATTTAGTTTCCCCTGTTTTGAATGTACATGCAAGTCCTTTGTCATTTACAAATCTTCTACATTAAGCTAATTTAAGGGCATCAGTAGTATCAGTAGAAGAACTATAACTATAGGCACAATCTGTTTTATTTGGTAAATAACATATGGTTCCTGCTAATTTACAGGTATCATCAGTAGAAGTGGAGATATCCTTTTGTAAATAAGTAACACATGATAATGAAGTATATGTGCTCAAAAATTATTCGCAAGTTCTAGCAGAACACTTAGTTGCTCCTAATGTATAACCACATAATAACCCTACATTATCTTTGATACTTGTACAATAATCAAACTTTTATTAATCAGTAGTTGCTGTATCAGGTAGACTATAACTACTACAAACTGCTGCATCAATGCATGCAGATCCAGCTTTAAAGAATCTACAAGTGGATTTATGATCAAGACAATCTTAAGCTGATTAAGGACTTGTTTTATCTGAGCATAATCTATCTTAGCAAGCATCATATTTTGTGCATGCAACTTTGGTCCAAACAGAAGAAACTTATAAACCACCACTGAAATTAGGACAAGAAGTAACAGTTCCTGATTATTAAGAACATGATCTTGATTATCTATTAATACAACCTCCATCAGATTTAGCTATACATCCTGACATGAAAGACTCACAATCTTCATCTTTTGTTGCAGTTGTATTATCAGTACAAGCTCTAACAGTACATGTAGCTGATGTAGATGTTCCAAAACAATATTTAGAACTATTACTTCCAACAATAGCAGATTCACAAAATGTTAAAACACCTGTATAACTTGCACAAGTTGTGTCGTTAGCTTTTGGATCAACACATCCTCCATTTCCATTATAGACACATCCTTCTAAAAATGAACTACATGTACCATCATTCTAGTTTTCAGCTAATTTGCAGGTTTTTATTTTACAATAATCATTTTCAGTGGCTGTTGAACTATTGTAACATTAATTAGTTGTAAAGTTATCAATAGATCCAGTCTTATAAGCAAATATCTTATTACATGTTTCTTAAGTTCCTTTCATTGATGTACATGGAGTAGTATAATCAACACAACCTTTTCCATTACTAATACATCCAGGTAAGAATGAAGCACATGTAGCATTATCAGTTGCTTCTGTATTATCTGAACACTTTCTTTATATACAAGGAGTAGTATCAGTAGCTGTTAATGAATTAGTACAATAACCTGGATAACTTAAACAAGTGGATTATGTTCCTGAAAGTTTACTACATTCATATTTAGTTA